CTCTCTCTCTCTCTCTCTCTCTCTTTCTCTCGTTTTTTTTCTCCCTCTAATTTCATTCAAATTACATTGATTTAAAAAACTGAACACACGCCTCAGCCAAAAGATGCGAATCTAACTGCGTTTTGAATATTTCCACATAAAACTCGTATAATATATATTATATCAAAACAAGAATAAATGCTTGGAAAAAAGTCAAGTGGCCTCCAGACGATAGAGAAAATCAAAAACAGCACGCTCACCTGCTGAGTCTATAAATAAAGCATAATTCAGGAAAACAAGTGGGTAGGGAGATAGCAAAAGGTGAGAGACGGGGGCCTTGTAGAACAAGCTACGTCATAGCGAGAGAAGAGATACAGCAAACGCAGGGACACGAATGTAAACACTTATGAAGATCAATTTACTTCTTTGTTTTCGAGATGCTAAATTTGAAAAAAATGATAACATTATTTATTACATGTATATTAACTCTTTAGGTGATAAGCTACATTTGAAAAGAACGATAATAGTATTATAATTAACTCATAAGGCGATATCAGCCGAGACATAAGCGTATTGTATTACTTTTTATCTTCTTAACGTGGGCTCATAGTTTACAGCTCATAGAGGGGAGTAATGATCTGCTGAAACAGTTTTTTTCGGGGGAGGGGGAGGGGATGGTAAATGAGGAAAGCAATTCGCCTCACTGACAGGTAATACTTCTTTTGTACCCCTCAATTGTTTTTGTCTGTCTTTCTAGGTTTTTCCCAAGAACGAAATGACTGTTTTCGTGTTTACTCGTGTTATTCAAACAAACCAACAGGCAAATAATTGGAACCATAATATTATAATTGGAATAAATGGTTGGTAAATATCAAAGTAAATACCTGAGTTGCAGCACCATCGGCAACGATATCAAAATCAGACAAACAAATAAAGCTTTTTTTTTTGGGGGGGGGGGGGTTTAATGCATGTTTTCAAAAAATGAGAGATATACCATCCCAGCAGAAAGACATTTATGCTTGTTGATCCCCACACGGGAATCGAACTCGACCGGTCTTCAGCGTACGAAATGGCAACACCACGAGCGCATGTTTCTGATTCTTTGCTAGGTTTGCGTTGGCTTTATAAGGAGATAATAATTATA